CCCAATGGACTGTACTAAGTATTGTCATTAGCCATCATGACTGTCCTTTGAATGCAAGGAAGCTTTGTCCCAAGGGAGAGTGCTCTCAGAGAAGGACATGCCTATCCCAGGACCTAAGACAACAATAGCCAGATCCCTCCAGGTCACAGGGTTGTGCCTTCAGTTCATGATGAAGTTGGTCAGCTCACACTAACTGCCAATTAAGAGGACTTGCCTGTCTTCCTTGTGATGTGTGGCTTGGTCTCTGTGACTATTCTATCAGATCCTGGCACCTATTCCTGTACTCAGTGGAGCAACTTGGAGACGATGATGTATTTCTGAGCTGTATTACACCTAAAATGACAGTTGTGTAAAATGATACATAATTTAAAATATAAAAATGAAGTAGTAGGTCTTATTGAGGGTTCCTCTGTTCAGAAGCAGTCCCGTGTCATCCACTACACAAACTGTGGCTGACCCATGCAGTGGAACATTGCTCAGTCATGAAAAGAATGAAGTTCTGACCCAAGGGTTGTAGGCTGTGGAGCCAAAGGGTGGGAAGAGCTGGGGTGTAGAAGGGAGAAGGCTGATAGGGGGCGCATGTGAGTTGAACTGGATCTCTTACAAGGAGAAAGAAAAATGTCTGGAGGGTCCTGAAAATGCCTTGGTCATTATCTTTCTTTGATAGATATAGGTATCATCTTCATTGTGCCTGGACATCTTCACAGCTGATTCCAGAAGAAATGTTGGGATGAAGTTATTGACCCTCCATAGGTCTGCCTCTGCTCTAGTCATTTTAGAAATGTGAGTTGAGTCCCCATGCTCATGAACACTCAGGAGACCTGAACTGAAGCCTACTTGGGGAACAAGTCCTGGGAGCTGAACAGATTCCATGCCTCTTCCTAAACAAACATGCTGAAACAGATTATAAGTAAGGTAATCTTGCCACTATTGCCCACAAATTGAGCAGGATTGTGACATCAAGGTCTCAGACAAGCAAAGTCCCTGGAAAGTGGAGGGGTTGAAACAATTGTACTGCACAAGTCAACCAAACAAATTTGGAGGAAGTTGTGAGCTCTGATAATTATTGTTCATTTTCCTAGGATCATCTGGGAGGAATAAGGATGCCAGTAAAGGTGCTAGACAGGAACGTGGCAACCATGGTTACTTCTCAGAACCACTTTGGAGCTGCCAATGTTAGAAGAGTCCATGACATTATGGGACTCTCACTGGTCTTATGCTGTGGAAGACTTTGTGTAGAAGTTTCTGTTGGGAAGAGTTCTTAAGAATCTATGATCTTGGCAAGTGGGGAGATTACTCAGCAGTTAAGAGCAATGGCTGCTCTTCGAGAGGACCCCGGTTCAATTCCTAGCACCCACACTGCAACTGAAAACTGTTGCTGGATTTTCTTGTTCCCACCAGCCTGGTCACAGAGCCACTTCAACCCCAAAGAAACCTGCGGGCACTATATTATGTATAAAACTGTTGTCCAATGTCTGAGACTTCTGATTGGCTAGCTGTGTCTTAATTATTAACACATTTCTATCAATCTATTAGTTCCATGTGGTCTAATCTTACCAGAGAACACCTGGCACATACTTTCCTCGAAGTCCCCACATGGGGACTCTTTTCAGTTCTTCTCTGCCTATTTTTCCCAGAATCCTCCATGTCTCCTAGTCCCGGCTAACTTCCTACTTCAAACAGCATTTTATTCATCAACCAATAAGAGAAACCTATATACAGAAGGACATCCCCCATCACACAACTATCCATAATTCCAGGTACAGGGGATCTAACACCCTCACAAACATACATGCAGACCGAAAACCAATGCACAAAATGAAAAGAATCTCTGATCTCTCATCCAGATGTGGTGGGACATGCCTTTAATGCCAAAAGTCTGTGGGCAGAGGCAGGTAGATCTCAGCCCACCTGGTCCATAAAGCAAGTTTGAGGCTAGCTAGAGCTATACAGATGAACCTTGCATCCAAAAACCAAAAAAGAAAAAAAATCTCTGATCTCCTGCATATAGCCATGTTCGAGATCACTCTCGGGTCCAGTCACCTCCTCTGGAGTACCTGGTACCAAGGCCAGAAACAAATCCAGTCTCCAACTCTAGCCAGTTCATCACATCCACCATCTCAGAGCCCTTCCTCATAATGGACCCCAGACTTCAGTTCTGTCCAGTACAGTCCTTTGTCTACAGATGTTGGACAGATAAACCATCAGAGGCCCTTCTACTCAAAGGAAATATGATGCCAATAGACAAACCATACTGGGTCCAGGATGCCCAGAGCAGGTGCCTGCAAGCCAGGTAACTCTGCTTAGTGGAAGGCCATCCTGATGGCCAGAGGTATTCAGGTAAAAAAGATGGGGAATAATCATTATAAAACGACAGAGCTAGCAAAGGCAAGGCACATGATGCTTCCACAAGGTGTAGCACAGTAGAAACCACTGCCTGTGGAGGACATCAGAAACCTCCTCAGAGAAGAAACGCATTGCATGGCCCAAGATTCTACATGTGGTGCTTCCAGTGGCCCAAGGAGGCCAGAAACCCTGACCCAACCCTGCCAATATCCATGGGCCCGGGAAGTGCAAGGTCATGATGGAGTTACCCTGGCACCGAAGGAGGTTTGGTTGAGTCCTACTCCCCTAGGAGAAAAGAGCCCATCATCACATTTGGCTTTCCATAATACAGGGTGCAAACTCAGGATGATTTTGAGAAGTACACTCCTGACATTAGAGTGTGTTGGCATGGAAAATTCCTGGAGAAGGGCTGTGGGATCACCTTTTTCCTTGAGGCCTGTTAGCCACTATTCCATGAGGACAAAGGGCAGAAGAGGCAACGAGAGCTTTGTATGGCCCACGAACACAGTAGAAATAGCCTTTTTCTATCAAGGTGCTTTGTGATGCAGCCCCAACTCCTTCTTCAGGGTTTAAGCAGGACACTACAGCAAGCAAAAGAGACTTTTTTCTTAGGGTATCTGAGGGCAAATGAACCAGTTTTCTCACATACACTGTTCCAAGCAACCTATTCTATTCTATTCTATTCTATTCTATTCTATTCTATTCTATTCTATTCTATCCGATCCTATACTATACTATCCTATCCTATTTTTCTTTTCTAATTCTCCTGTTCTAATTTTAATCCATCATAGCTTCTTCTCTGTCCTCTAAACTATCTTTCATACAGGAGCCTTGAAGCAATAAATAAAAATTACAGAGTTACCTCCCATTGGTCAAAAACACATTCCTAGGTTAAGCGATTAGGAGCAGAGCCATTTACCATGGCAACAGAAGGATTTCAGGATTTCAAGAGTACGACTGTGACAAGAGCCTAGTGTCCCAGTGTCCATAGGACTTTTGTCAGCTAGACTTGGCAAGCAAAGAATTGGCATGCTTTTTTTTTTTTTTTTAGGGTGATTTGTGTAGCAAACTTGGTTAGACATCTGCAGCTCTGATCTTGTACATAGCTGTAATGTTTTAAAGTTAAGATCTATTTACAAAAACCCTTTAGTCTAATTTGAACTTGTGTGAGGTAAAAATGATATAATGTTTGTTGTTAGTCTGAGTGAAAGGAACAAAACAGGCTTATATTTATATATATATATATTTATTTATTTCTAATTTTACATATCGAAACCAGTTCTGTCTCCCTTCCTCAGAACAACTTCTAAGTGTCTACACTCCTCATGGGACAAATAGATCTAGTTATAAACATGTCCTAGTATATTTTCTACATGTCCAAATCATACATGTAAATGAAAAGTCATTTCCTGACCATCCACAGATATGTTTGCTAAGATGGAATATTGTCATGAGATAAACAGAAACTAGTGGGATAACACCCAAAGCTATTCTTAGGGAAGAAATGAAGTGGCACATGAGAGAAATTACAGACGCACTCAATAGGCTTTTCAAGTCAGTGGTCCTGTGAGCCTTGCTAGACTAGATTGGTTAACAATCAGAGTCTTGTGAGTGGACACCTGGATTATCAATTGTCATATGCTGTATATTTCCATGGCCACCAGCATTCCTGGAGACTGCTTCAGCGAGCTTTATTACAGATATATGAGGGCTGGGGACATTAGCAGGGGAATAACTTAGTTTGCATTAAATAGGACCCTCTTATCATAAGGATCCTAGTACAACTCTTAGTTATCATCTGTGGAAGCATGGTCATATTTTCACACTCCTAGCATAATATCAAATTGCCATATGGGCAAAAGGGGAAATCCTTCAGCAGGGAACTGTGTCAAGGGTCATACTAGAGATAAGTCATGCGGCAGACACAGTCTCGAAATAAGGTCAGGTAGAGAAGAGGATGCCTTCTGCTGGGGCAGTAGGGAGTCTTCCATGTGGTCAAGCTTAGAGGGATCTGCCAGGCAATGGTAGACTGCAATCTCTGAACACCAAGGCCTCCCAGATAAATACGACAATGTCCAGGAGGACTGCAGGAACTAGTCAAAGCACTCCCCATTCTTCGAGGCCAGGGAGGGGTCCCAATATCATCCTGTCCCCATCATAAGCCAGTACATTAATCCATGAGTCCACCCTGACTACTGCCAGGATAACCAGGTGATCACCCCCTGCCAGTAACCTCCATTGGGATCTCATTTCTGTCCTGGAGCTCCATACACTTTCCCTCACACTCTTCCCACCACACTCATCATCTGGATTTGAGAGGACAGAAATCACTGAAGGTGCCTGGGGTACCAGAGGTTTTCACCCTTGCACTCAGCATTTTGTGGCCTTTGTGCAGAAAAAACACCATGAGAACCAGGAAGGAGCTGGACACTGGCTTCATCCTAGCCACTTTGCCAATCCTCCTCCTCTAAAAATATCCACCAAGTCTCCGGGCCATGAGACAGCACCCTGCCTAGTCCTCTCACCAGTCACAGCACGGAAAGACACCGAGGAAACGATGAAGTTCTTTAATGAGAAGCAGGGGAGTAGGAACAGAGGGAAGGGGTGGGTGAAGCCATGAGGGAGAGTGAGGGTGCTCCTTCTGTGTCCTGTGCTCAGATGCCTGGGTGGAGCAATGCTGTGAGGAAGGCCTGGACCCATGCATCCCTTGCTGTGGAAAGGAGGAGAGTCAGTGCAGCCCAAATGATTCATGCAGAGGAAATATAGGGATGCCAGGGGCTAGGCCCACCAGATATAAACAGGACAAAGGTCATTCTATCTCTCTCCCTGCATAAGGAGTCCCCACATTTCTCCATGCCCATGTGGGGAGAAGGGACAGGTGACTTCTGGGTAACCACATGGCCAGGGGAGGACAAGGAAGCTGTTGGACTCAGGTTTTCTCACACCTAGACAATTAATTCACCTTGGGCAGTTCTCTGAACTACATCTCCCAACTGTCACACAGCAGAGAGGGGCCCAGCAAAGCTCCAGGACCCAGGCATGGCTGCCACCTCCTTTAAAGCAATACAAGCCATAAAAGGAGTAAACATGGTAATGGAAGGGAAGGGATTAATTTCCCCTCTGCAGGAAACTGCAGGGGACAACACAGAGAGGCATTCTCTCCAGTTGCAAAGCAGCTGCAGAGTATCAGAGAGGGCAGATTCCTGATGGCCAGGATGAAACACCCATGATGGAATCCTGAACAAAATACCCACAGGTGGAATGTTTTCAGGCCAAGGCTGCACCTGTCTGCACAGGTAGGGAAGGTTAGAACACAGTGGCTCCGGAAGCCCTGTTGACCCCAGGACCAGAAATTCCTCAAGTGTCCCCAATATAAGCAACTTACCCTAACTGATTCCTGGGGAGCAGGTTTCTGTCCAAGAAACAGAAAACATGGTTCAGAAGAGCCAGGGAATTCAGTCAGAAGGCCAAGGCCCCTCCCATCAGCCATCATGTCCCCAGCCCCAAAGGACAAAGCTGGATGAGAGGCAGCCTGTCCTCCTGAGGGACTAAAGGGCTTCCCAGCCAGCATGGGGCTCGACAACATGGAACTTGCTTCCTACCACTCTGCTTGGGGATGAAGATGTCCTCTTCATTGAGGCCTCCAGCTCTCACAGCATTCCGGAAATCTTCCAGGGCCTCCAGGCTGATGCCTGGGTCTCTGCCTATAGGTGAGGCCAGGGCAACAAGGTGTCAGGGACACAGCTGGGGGGGAGCTCATCGAATCCTTCCCAGCCCAGAGGCCTTTGGGGTGAAGAGTGAGGCATCACCCACACATGTAGACACTTAACCCAGAGGCCTGGCTGTGAGAGGAGATTCCAGGTGGGGAAGGAAGACCAGAGCACCATGTTCCTCCCTCCATATCTTCTGGACAAGAAGACACAGGAGCACAGTGCCTTCATCTCAACTGAGTTTCTCTCAGGCAGCTTGGGAACAGTGCGGTCAACCTCCGTCTGGAGGAATAAGTCACCCTTGGCTGAGGGCTCCATGTTGTCTCCCTGCTCTGTGTGGACAAGTGCCCAGTTGCAGGGAGACCTCAGAGGTTCCGAGGCCTTTATCTCCAGGCAAGAAGGACAACGGTACTAGCTGTCATTGGGGCTGGTTTTCATATGGTGGCTCCTGGTTCTAAACCCATCCTTCTTAAACCTGGAACGCCAACAGTCATGAGTCTTTTGCCCATCTAACAGCAATGTGACTCACCTAGGAGTTTTGCCCCTTGGAAATGAAGCTTGTGCACTTTGTATTGCCCATATAAGATGTAGTGGTCCTCCACTGCAGATGGTATGATGTAGAAGACCTGAGTGCCCCCATCTGTGGAGGTACAGTGACATAGATCCAGAATAAGCACCTAATCCTACAACAAGGGTCCAAGGGTTCCTGGCACCTAGCCTGGCACCTTCAACTCTGATTCCCTCACTGTTGCTCAGGTCTTACTGACATAGCTTCTCCACCATCCCAGAATCTCAATTGTGAGTTTCCATGGGAGCCACACACATGGGAGATAGCCACGTTTCCGTCCTGTGTGTCAAACAGAATCTTCCTCTGGAACTAAATACATTCCTCTCCTGACTACCTCTATGAGTTCAGTCATAGCCAATGAGACATCCCTGGCAGTTGTATTAACTTGTCTTATATCAACTTGATACAAGCTGGAATCATCAAAGAGAAGGAAAGGCCAATTGAGAAATGCTTGCATAAGATTAGGCTGTAGGGGTGCTTGCAGGGAATTTTCTTACTTAGCAATTGATGGGAAAGGGCCCTTCCCATTGTGTGTGGCGCCAGCTCTATAAGAAAGCAAGCTAACAAGCAATGAAGAACAAGCATATAAGTCGCACTCTTCCACAGCTCCTGCATTATCTCATTTCTTGCCCTGCTTGAGTTCCTGTCCTGATTTCCTTTGATGATGAGCAGTGATGTGGAAGTATAAACAAAATGAGCCCTATCCTCAACTTGAGTTTTGTCATGGTGTTGCATCACAGCAACAGTAACCCTAACTAAGACAACTGCCAATTCTCTTCTAAGGCCAAGTCAACCACCCCTGATGCAGTATTTGGTGCCAGCCGTTGCCATGTGTAAGGAAAACTGCCTCGTGGTGGTTACCCTGGGTGTTAGCAGGCTTAGGAGAAGTAAAGGTTCTCAGGCCATGGGGCACCCTGGCCTCACATGTATCATGGGAGGTTGGGGACAGCCCTCTCAGGCTCAGGGACTCACCAGCTGTGTATTTGTCAGGTTCATCTGTCTTCTCTAGGACAGTGCTCGTCTCTCGGCACTGTCCTGCAATCCTGGAAGACAGAAGGTCTGTGAGACACACTGTCCAGACACACACCTCCCCTCCCATAACATGGTCTACCTGCCTGGTTCCAAGGTGGCCAAGGAACTGTAGGTTTTCCTGAGTCTAAGTGTGTTACCAGCAGGCCTCCTGAGCCACATGTCCTAGCCCCCTGAGTCCCTCAGTTGTCCAGGTCTGTGTCATGTCACCCGCTGCCTGCACCCTTACAGTCTCTTCTCACTCCCTTGGAGATCCTTGGGGCTACTTGGTTTGTAGACATTGTCTGAAGCAAACTCTCTTTGCTAACTTCCATGCTATGTGGCTCGTGTGGATCACCCTCTGTCCCTGGAGATATTTAGGGACCATTCCCATATTACTGTCACGTGGCCAGTTGAGGAAACCCTTCAGTGGGTAGGATTGGGGGAAAAAACAAAGGGAAGATTCCAGGCTAACTGCCAGGCCAGGGACTGCCCAAAAGCCAGATCCAGAGAAGAGAGCTCAGACAGTGTCATGTTGTTTAGGGGTACTGACATGGCAGAATCCTATTGTGAGATCAGACACGAAGGTAGAAGCCTCACAAATGGGAGGCCACACAAGTATGCGACCACACGGGTGAGCATCTACACAAAGAGGGGGTCACAGACATGACAGGATGCTACACAAGCGAGGTCACACTGGTGATAGATCACACAGGTGAGATTAGGCTAGGATTTCAGTGTCTATGCAGAGCCCTATAAGCTTTTTCCCTACGGCACTACACACACTCCCAGTCACTCTGAAAGCCTGGTCTCTGCCTCTCTCCCAAGCAGAATTTTACATTAGAGGGTGAATAGGTCCAGACTGCATATTCATTCCTGGTCTGGGAGTGAAACTCTTTCCCAAGAGCCTGGGTCACTGACAAACGATGTCCCATCAGAGTAGAAAGTGGGTGCCCTTTCCAGCGGGGACATCTTCTCCAGACTACCTGCTGACTCATGTTCCTCTCTAATTGGAGGCACCCTCAGTGGTACTGTTGGACCCAGCACCCCAGCTCACCCTGTGCACCCCACTCAGCTCCCATCTCTCCTGTGTGGGGGAAACTAAGGCCAAGAAGAATGCTACCAACTTAGCTGTCACACTCACAGTACATTGAACTTGACTTGCAGGTTGCCCCCTTCCAGGGCCGTGATGGTCATGGGAGTCACAGACACAGACCGAAGCTTTTCAGGAATCCACTTGTCAGATGCTGTAGCTTTCATATACCATGTCCCTGTCACCTGGAGAAAGCACCTTCCCATCAGGTAGACCCCAGGACTGCCCCTAGTCCTTAGTCCCTGCCTCTACCTTGGCTCTCAAGTTCTGGACAAGTGGACCATTTCCCAGGCTCCCTTTCTATCAACCCATTAAATAAATGGGCTCTACCAGAGCCACAACAATGTGGCCTTCCCCTCTTGCAGGTGTGACACTATCCCAGATCCCTGCACTCCTGGAGAAAAGTGAAGAGGGCTGGATATGGACTCTGGAATCCCCCAGCCCTCTGCACCCAGAACCACCCGACTGTGCTGTGTCTGGCATTCCTTCAGAGCAGGGTTCAAGCCTGGCTATAAAATGATGTCTCTTTAGATGAGGAAGGAATGGAGGACCCAGCTGTCACCCTCAGCCCCCCTATGTGCCATGCACCCCCTTGAATCTCCTGCCATCTCAGCCTCACATCTCGAGTCTCTTCTGTGGTAGGGAAGGTCTGGGCCTGTAGAGCAGCAAGCAGGCCGAGGCTGAAGGTCAGAAGCAGGGCCTTCATCTCCAGATTCTGTGCTCACAGGTGTCCAACAAGTCACTCTGCAGGCTGAGGAGACTGTGCTGGGGCCTCACTCAGCTGCTCTTTATATTGCTCAGCTCAGGGTCCTCAGGGAATTTGGCAAGCAAGGATGCCAGTTTCTTCCTGGCCATTCACCATGGCCATGTCCTCAATGGACCAGATAAAATGTCATCATTGTTGGAAGTTGGTAGGAAACGCTTAAAGTCCAAAGGATAATGGGACCCGGCTATTTGCAGTTATCCCTGGCAAGAAAGTGAGTCTGAGTTGGAGGTGTAGCCTCCCATGTCAGGAGTCCCTGAGGGTGAGTAGAGAGAACCCCTCCTGCACACACTGTGTGTTCATCCAGCTGGCCGACATGCTCTTTGACACAGTGGAGGCCACTGAAGCCAGGCAGTCTTGTGCTGCATTTTCTGGAACCTTCTTCAATCCCAGGGCAGGACAATGAATCTTAGATTCATCTTGGAAGAAGAGGAAAGTGGGAACCTGCTGTGTGACTGTGAAAATGTGTGTTTAAAGATGTGTCCCCTCCTCAGCAAGCCCATCGGCAGAGCAATGATGGATCAGACATAGAAGGAAACCTAGAAGGCTTGTGTGAGCACATATGTACACAGGCACACATGTACAGACAGTGAGCAATGGGACAGAGTCACAGGCTGAAGCTGCAAACGTGTCTCAGCTCTTAAGATTCCTTTATGCTCTTGCAGAGGACATGGGTTCAGTTTCTATCACCCATACAATGGTTCACAAGCACTTGTAACTCCAGTTCTAGGGGATATGATATTTTCTTCTTGCTTTCAGTTATCTGCATGCATGTGGTACATATGAACCCAGAGAAGTTCACACCTGGTAAAGGGTCTAAGGCACATGGTCTCCTGTCCCTGAAGCTAGCAGATAGCAGATGGCCACGGGTATTTTCTTAAAGTGTTTAACATCTTCTGGTTGGCTTACTGATATGCAATAAATATCAACTTGCTATGATTCAGAATAACCTGGGAAGAAATCTCTATTTGGAAATATTTGGAAATTATCTAGATCAGATTTATCTGTGGCTTTGTCTGTGGTATTGTCTTCATTGTTACTTGACAGCCCACTGTGGGCAGCACCATTCCCTAGGCTGGTCCTGAATTGTATTGGTGAAGAAGTCTAGCTGTGTACTAAGCAAGCAGGCATCATGGGTCCATTTATTTCTCCTTGCTATTGACTGTGGCTGTGATGTGACTGGACTGACTGCCTGGACTTTCCCTCAGTAATGGACTATGACCTAACACTGTAAATCAAATAAACTCCTAACTCTATTGAGGTTTTTTTTTTCTGTTTAGTTTTTAGTTTTTTGTTTTGTGTTTTCCACATTGTCTACAATGAACTTTTCCTGTCCTAATTTTATTTTTGTCAGGATGTTATCACAGCAATAGAAATGAAATCAAACTGTTGAGAATTTATTTTACTCCTGGTTTTTGAGTTTTTGAGGGTTCACTCTGTGGTTTCTTTTATCCAGACATGGTTTCCCTGTGTAGCCTTGTAGACCAGGCTGGCTTCAAACTTACAGAGATCCGCCTGCTTCTGCCTCCTGCATGCTGGGATTAAACATGTGCGCCACTGCTGCCCTGTGCCACTCTGTGGTTTCTTAATCCCATGTGTTTAGGCTGAGCACCACGGCAGGGAGAGCCCATGGTAGAAGAGGCTTCCCAGCTCCTGAAAACAGGAAGCAGGAAGAGTGAAGAAGAACTAGATCTATTCCTCAAAAATACCTTTAGCTACTTACTTCTTTTAACTAGGCCCATCTCCTATGGCTTCCAGAATCTTCTCAAATAGCATCGATACGTAGGGACCAAGATTATACCATGTGAGCCTATGGAGATATTTCATATTCAAACCCCTGAATCCCAAAGACCCATGAGTAGCTAGCTCATAATACAAAATGCATCCAAGAGTCCTGATAGTTGTAGCTACTAGAACATTCTTCAAAATCAGCAGTGCAAAATTCCCTGTGAGATTCATGGCAAATCCTTAGCTCTGTATCCTTATAAAAGAAAAACAAAAAATAGCACACTGCCAAGATAGAATAGTACAAAGGAGACATCCCCATTCCCAAGGGGTCATAAGAAGGAAGCATGGGATCAAAGCATCATAAAATCCCATAACCTTTGCCCAGCACTTGGATCACACTGTATGGTCATAGACACTCAGATAAGCCTGGGAAAACCAACCCCTAAGATGTTGGCTTGGAAATACCTCTCTTGGTATTGTTTGCTGCCTGAAGCTTTTATCAACACATTTGTTTGTTTGTTCCCTACATCTATAAATTCTCAGGATAAGCAATACATCGTCCACTTTGTTCTCATAGCTATGCTCTCAGGAGCTGCTTGCAGGAATCCTGAGCCTGTTGTTCAATGCCTGGCCTCCTAGAACTTTCTTTGAAATCTGGGTGCAAGCCTCTATTTCTAGGTAACTTGGATTCTGCATGCCTGCAAAAGCCTCACTGCATAGGCAGTTCCTTGTCTTTCCAACAGGACAACAGATGACCCCTTTGGTATTCGTGGCCTTGGAGTACCTGGGTTAGTGAGGGAAATGGATCTAGGGAAAACAATTTCTGAGGCTGATCTATCCAAGTGAAGGAAATTTCTTTCAAATGAGTTTACCCTTTTGTGCCCTTGAGCCTGCATAATTGGGGTCTGGGTTCACCGAGGCATAGTTCCCACTGTCTCAATTAAAAGTATTTGACTTCTTTCCAATGGCTATATTTCTCAGAAACTATGACTTTCTTAGCAGCAACTTTCCATGAGCTTCTAGGACAAAAGTACATTTGTCCCAAGTCTTTCTACCCTGCATTTTGCTCTTGATTCTCTCTGTGTGAACCTGACCAACAATAACCATGCCACAACCCCAATGCTGGGCTTCCTTGAAATTTTCTCTACTAGATTAACCAGTCACTTCAGCTTTTCCCAAAGACCTGGGACATGAGCAAACAAGTTCTCTCCCACAGTGAAACATATATCACCTTGAACCCAGCTCCCAACAAAGTTAACATTCCAGATGATACCAATAGTACAGTCTTTGCTATGGGTCTTACATTCTCACAAGAACACTCCTTACTCTTTGTTCATAGATTGTAGGGCTTCTCTAGCCATTATCTCCAAATTTGTCCAGATTTCTCCCACAAACTAGTTCCAAAGGCTTCTGAGCCCCTTTTCAGGCAGTCAAAGCAACAACCCCACTTCTATCCTATCATTTTTAAAAAATATCTTAGGGGGCTGAAGAGATGGCTTAGAAATTAAGAGCACTGGCTGCTCTTCCAGAGGTCCTGAGTTCAATTCCCAGAAACCACATGGTGGCTCACAATCATTTGTATGAGATCCGGTGCCCTCTTCTGGTGTGTAGGCATACATGCAGGCAGAACACTGTATACATAATAAATAAATAAACCTTTTGTTTGCATACACTACATTATTTAGTGTATGTGTGCACGTGTGCACACATTCACACCATGAGCACTTGTGGAAGTCAGAGGACAATATGTAGGCCCCAGTGGCCCAACTCAGCTTGTCAGCCTTCACCTGCTGAGCCATCCCACCAGCCCCTGGTCTACACAACCCAAAGGAAATTAGGGTACATGGAGCTCCTTGTTTCAGAGATTTCTGTTTGTCATGGCAGAGGGCAGAGCAAAGCAGCCTAGTTGCACTGTGAAGGAATTATACTAAGAGCTTTGCTCTTGAATTCTGCTTTTTCAGAACTATTTCATCTCCCCCGGGCCCCAGGTTGAGGGACAAGATCATCTTCTTTCATGGTATTCCCCTAACCTTAGTTAATCTCCTTTGGAATCCCTTAAAGACATATGCTCAGAATCACGCTCTGCTACCCTTCTCCGTCTAATCCAATCTACAGGCAGTGTTCACAATCACTCTGGACCTACATGATAGGTTGTGAGAATATTTTCAGAAATAGTTTGTAGGGTCCTTGCCCAATGCCAAGTGACTGTATAGGACCATCTGCCAGCCTACCACAGGGGCCCTCTGTGGCTGAGGGCAGAGATGTTCCCTCCTAAGTATCTGCTGATCTCTAATAACAATGATAGAAAGCTCTGGCTTCTGGTGGCGCAGAGAAAAGTTGTACTTATTGTCCAAACTTGTGGACTTCATGAATATTCTTGGTACCTTGTAGGCCAAGCTAGAATTGAACTCTCAAAGCCAGCTCCCAAGCTTCAGTTCCTCTCAGGATGGTTAAGTCAGTCAAAGTCAGCATGACACGGATATGAAGCCGGCTCTCCGGTGATGCAGAAAATGGAATAATTGTCTGATACTTCCCCACAGAGAAGCCAAGCCAGCTGAAGCCAGCACAGCACAGACATAAGATTGGCTCTCCACGGGCACAGACAACTGTGTAATGGAGACTGACTTCCCTGTGGAAGAGCCAAGCCAGATGAAGCCAGCATAGCACAGACATGAGGCTGACTCTCCACAGGTAGAGACAACTGTATAATAGAGACTCACTTCCCTGTAGACAGGCCAAGCCAGCTGAAGCTAGAATAACACAGATCTGAGGCTGGCTCTCCACAGTTACAGACAACTGTGTAATGGAGACTCACTTCCCCATGGAGGAGCCAAGCCCCCTGAGGCCAGAATGTCACAGGTCTGAGACTGACTCTAATGGAAAGCACTGCACAGTTGTTTGGGCAAGGTCCACAGTGTGACGAGCAGGTAGGTCTTTTGCTGATGTTTGAAAGGTCAATCACTACAGCTTTAAAGACGCATCCTGTTGCTGTTATGGCTCCTTTCTCACGGCTGGCGTTGGCAGTGGTACTACCTATGATGGTGCAGGTAGCCATTCTGAGCTCCACGTCTCCCCTGACTCCTCACTATCCACATCACCCTACTTGTTCCTTGTGGTACAGCCGTCCTGTCACACAGCCTCCATACAGGGCACTGCTTGCCTCACAAGCTTAGCCCAAAGCCTGAGCCCCTGCTCTCTGGGCTGGAATCTAGGTA